TAAATGCAGGCATTTAATCCTGAACCGGTGCTTCCGGCATTTAGTGGGCGTCCTGATCAGGTGGAGAGAGTGTTAAAAGCTCGTTTCCATGATGCCATGACTAAGCTTCAACCTCAGAAAAGGGAGCTTGATCTGCTCATTGTCATTCTGCCAGACAACAATGGATCCCTCTATGGTATCAAGTTTTCACTTCCATTGTATCATATCATAGATTGTGTTTAAAGAGTTTTTTTTTTTTTTTTTTGGTTGTTGATAAAAGATTATGTTTATTGTTTAAAATTTTATGTAGGTGACCTGAAACGAATCTGTGAGACTGATCTTGGGGTTGTTTCTCAATGCTGTCTGACTAAACATGTTTTTAAGATGAGCAAACAGTACCTTGCAAACGTGGCTTTGAAGATTAACGTGAAGGTTGGAGGAAGGAACACGGTCCTTCTGGATGCAATTTCAAGGCGTATACCTAATGTCAGCGATGTTCCAACTATCATCTTTGGTGCTGATGTCACCCATCCACACCCTGGGGAAGATTCAAGCCCTTCTATTGCAGCTGTATGCTATTTAAAAATATGCATATATTTTTTTTTATGTGTTTGTTTGTAAGAAAGAAAAAGTGAAAAGAGTTGTTGATATTGATGTTATAGGTTGTTGCCTCTCAAGACTGGCCTGAGATAACAAAGTATGCTGGGTTGGTTTGTGCACAAGCCCATCGTCAAGAACTGATCCAGGATCTGTACAAGGAGTGGCATGACCCACAAAGAGGCAAAATGTCTGGTGGCATGGTCAAGTATGAATTTGTTGGTGATTTGATAAAGGATTGGTTTTACTTGCAGCAGACAGTTGATTGATTGATTGATTGATGTTTGTTATGCAATGCAATGAAAAAACAGGGAACTGCTGATATCTTTCCGCAGAGCAACAGGGCAGAAGCCAAAGCGGATTATATTTTACAGGTATTTGTTATGTATATACTTATCTGATTGGATCCTGTTTGTATGTTTTGGATTGAGTGTTGATGTTTGTGGTTTGGATTTAGGGATGGAGTGAGCGAGGGGCAGTTCTATCAAGTTTTACTTTATGAGCTTGATGCAATTCGAAAGGTGGGGTGATGGAATATAATATAAATGGTTTAAGTTATAAAAAAATGGAAATAAAATGAACAATGAACGAAGTTGGTGGGTTGACAGGCATGTGCATCGTTGGAGCCAGATTATCAGCCTCCAGTGACGTTTGTGGTGGTTCAAAAACGTCATCACACGCGATTGTTTGCTAACAACCATCGTGACCGCAATGCTACTGACAGGAGTGGGAATATACTGCCAGGTTTATTTTGGATTTGCATTTGGTAATTAATTTATATTTACTGATGTAAATGAAAATGTATGTGCTCTGCAGGCACGGTTGTCGACTCCAAGATATGTCATCCGACCGAGTTTGATTTCTATCTGTGCAGCCATGCTGGGATTCAAGTATGTGTTTGTGTTTTTGTTTAAATTGAGATTTGAGTTCCATAAATATTAAATACATTAATTTGGGTGGTGTTGTTAAAACAGGGGACAAGCCGTCCAGCCCATTACCATGTGCTGTGGGATGAGAACAAGTTTGCAGCTGATGCTCTGCAATCACTCACAAACAACCTCTGTTACACGTATGTCTGTCTATATTTGTTTGTGTCATTTATGTTCTCTTGTTGAATTAAGTAAAGATTTGTTTTGATTATGTTTTTGTTTGGACAGGTATGCAAGGTGCACCCGCTCTGTGTCCATTGGTAAGTAAAGTTGTTTGATGCTTTTTTTTTTTTTTTTTTTTTTTCTAATCTATAAAATGCATTATTTGACTGATTTTTTGATGCAACAAAACACAGTGCCACCGGCATACTATGCTCATCTGGCTGCCTTCCGCGCACGGTTCTATATGGAGCCAGACACATCTGACAGTGGCTCCATGACAAGCGGCCGTGGTGCAGGGACAAGGAGCACCCGTGTGCCAGGGGCAAATGCTGCTGCGGTCAGACCCCTACCTGCTCTCAAGGAGAATGTCAAGCGGGTTATGTTCTACTGCTAGAATACCCTTTCATTTCATGTATGTATGTGTGTATTTTCTGCTGGATAAATTACAACACTATGTGTGTAGGTGTTTGTGTGTGTTACTTCCCAACCTAAAACTTGAAAATACTTGCTTGGTTGCTATGAATCATATTATATTTATGGTGGTGGTCTTTGTTCATTTATTTTTGGCTATTATCTGCCTGTTGCTATGAATTATATTATATTTAGGGAGATTAATTGATGATGAATAGTCGGTTAAGAGTAATTAACCCACAAAATAATGTTATAATAATATAGGCCCAACTCATAATAACATGATTAACATATGAAAGTTTAATTAATTTTATAATTGTGATTTTCACGAGTTATAAACTAGTTACTAACAAAGACAATTCATATTTTTCAAATGAAACCAAAAATTGTATTGCAAAAACAATTAACTTTGTAATTTTATGAAACAAAAAATCTAGTACAAAAACTAATATTTTAAAAAAACCCAAATATGTTCAATAATAATATAAACGTGTTTAAATGGACCATTACTTTTGTCATGTATCCATGCAATGTGTGCAAATCTCCATAGATATGACTTGGTTTAGGTCTTCGTGCAACCCTTTATGCTTACTAAATGACTACCGATGAATCCTTTTACACCCTGCTCCTGAGTATCACTTAATGAAAGAAGAGAACGGAATTGAGAGGATTTGGAAGGAAAGAAGAGAAGTTTGGGTGCTCCCGAGTTTTTTTTTTGAAGAGAAGAGATGAAGAGAGCAGATTTGGGAGGATTTGTAACGTTCCAAACTTTCCTCCCAAAATGGGCGGAATTGGAGAGAAAGAAAACGGCTGGAAGATAAAAAGGTAGATTATGACGAAAATACCCTTTAGCCTAACAATAAATAGATATGTTCACTGATCAGCTTCTGCCTCGTCTTCTTCTCTGTTACAAACACCAAACACCAGGTACCCAATTTCTTCTTCAACTGTTTTTTTTTTTTTTTTTTGATATCCTTCTGTATTCTACCTGATTAGGCTTCTGCCTTATGTTTGTTGCCCAATTTCTTCTTATTTGTGTTACGGATTCTGCTTCTGTTATGACTTCTGCCATTTTTTTTGGTTAGACTATGTATCTGTTTTGTATTATAGCACTAATTAATCCCATCAAACTGCTTACAAATTTTTTTTTATCAATGGGACAAAAAATTGTAATATTTTGTCCCTCCTAAAAATTGTAATATTTTGTCCATCTTTTGTTTATAATAGCAGAGAATTTTACCTGTAACAGGTAATACCCTTAACTTGAAATGTTCAAACTGCTTAAAGATAATATAGAGTTAATAGATAATATAGAATTTTACCGGTAACAGGTAATATTTTGTCCATCTTTTGTTTATATAGTTTGTATCTATTACATGGATTTTAAGAAAAAATATATATAATTTTATGGAGTAAACTTATGGATCTGCATGTCCAAATCTACAAATTTCACAAGCAATATGCTGCCACAGGTTGCTTTTTTTTATCTTCACACAGAGATGACTGGTTTGCCCCTAGATTACATTTAACTTTTATAACAAAAAAAGTTTATTAATTATAATTAATAAATCAACTCTTTATAAATACATGTTATTTTTATCAAAATGACTGTTTTGCCCCTAGATTACATTTAACTTTTATAAAAAAAAAAGTTTATTAATTATAATTAATAAATCAACTCTTTATAATTACATGTTATTTTTATCAAAATGACTGTTTTGCCCCTAGATTACATTTAACTTTTATAACAAAAAAAGTTTATTAATTATAATTAATAAATCAACTCTTTATAATTACATGTTATTTTTATCAATGTTGTTTAAATTTAACTTAAACTATATGATCATGTATCAGAAAAAACGATTAGTTCATATTTAGTCCTTATGGATGCTCCGGTACTCAACCCTGCTCATGCTTTAAGAGCCCGACAATTGCAAGTCGTTAACTTGATTTGCTTGTTGTTGACTTTTATTACACAACGTAATATGGCCAACAAAAAGCAGGTTAGATTACCCACTAGAAAAGTTATTTTAGAAAGACAAGCTGTACGGGAAGAGTTGCTCCACAATCTTTTAGAAGGTGGTTAATGTCGTGACCTTATTCGTATGAGTGAAAACGCTTTTAGGAGATTGTGTGAAATCTTACAAACTATAGGTGGTCTACGACGTACGCAACGCATGTCCGTTGAGGAACATGTTGCTAGATTTTTGCATATTGTAAGTAATGATTTTCGAACTCGGTTTACCTCGTGGATGTATCGTCGCTCTAGATCAACAACGAGTAGGTGCTTCCATAGAGTATTACGATCGATTATAGCAATAGAAGGTCTTTATGTTCAGCAACCTACAGGTGATGTTGTCCCGAGAGAAATTCAAGAAAGTAGGAGATTTTATCTTTTTTTCAAGGATTGTATAGGGGCAATAGATGGAACACATGTTCGTGTCCATGTGCCTAATAGAGATGTCCCTAGATACCGTGGTCGTAAGGGATACCCGACAATAAATGTATTAGCTGCTTGTACATTTGATTTGAAGTTTACGTATGTTTTAACGGGTTGGGAGGGTACTGCATCAGACTCGAGAATAATAAAGAACGCATTTACTAGAAATGATAAACTGCTAATTCCATTAGGTAATTTATTAAACCAATGTAATTTCAATATCTAATATTTTTCAATAATATTGATTAAGCTCTTTATAGGTAAATACTGTTTAGTAGATGGGGGTTTGCCTCATACGGATAAACTAATGGCGCCATATAGAGGTGTTAGATATCATTTAAAAGAGTACTCCATGCGTGGTCCACAAAATTCTAAAGAGTTGGTTTTTGAGATTAATTATGTTATTTACCCTTCATATTTTTTATTAGTATTATCCTTCATATTGTGGTCTAACAATGTACCATTCTTTAATTTTTATTCCTATGTGCAAAGTCATCATGATCAAACAGGAAGCTGGTGGTAGTGAAAAGGAACAAGTTAAATGGTCAGAAATAATGGATTATGCGTACATCCAAGTGATGATTAAACAACAAGAGATAGGCAATAGGGTGAATGGTAGTTTCACACCAACTGCATATGCTCAAATGGTTGAGGAATTGAACACAAACCATCAAATGGATATTACCAAAAGTCATTTGAAGAATCGCTACAAAACCTTAAAAAAACATTTTTCGCAATGGTACGATGTGTTTAGGGGAATTTCTATGAGCGGGTTCTCTTGGAATTCGTCTACTCAACTAATAGAAGCGGAGGAAGAAGTATGGGATAATTTAATAAAAGTAATTGTTCATTTTATGTCTATGTTATTTTTTTAAAATATTTTATGTTATCATTTGCAATACTAATTATTTTTGTGTTGTTATACAGTCAAAACCTGAGGCTGTGTCGTTAAAGACAAAAAAGATTGCATACTTCGATGAGATGTTGATGTTATTTGCAAGGGATAGGGCATCTGGTGCACATGCTGAGACAGCGAAAGAAAGAAATGCCCGATTAAATAAAAATGAAAATATTCAAGTTGAAACAATTAAAGAAGTTGATGACATGTTAGCTAACAATAAAATTCATTTGGAGAACGAATATGTTGATCTTGATGATAACATTCAGGATGTTATTCCACCTCCTTTTTCACAAGAACAGTCTTCATGTGCAAAGAAGTGTAAGAGTAAAAAGAGGAAATTTGAAGACGACGACGAAGAAGAAGATATTAACTCAAAGATAATGAAATCGGTTGATAATGTGGCTGGTGCTATCAGGGAGGGTAATATAATTTTTGATAGAGCTTATCCTCGGGAATATACAGGGGAAGAAATTTATAGAGAATTGGAGTTGGTGGGTTTGGAACCCCATGAATTACCGAGGGCTCTAAATTTTTTGGCAACAAATCAAGCAAAAGCTAGGACGTTGTTCAGTTGTCCCCTTCAGATACGGATGGGTGTCCTCAAAGATATGATGGGTGCACGTGATTAAATAACCTTGGGTGATTGTTACTGGATTGATCTAATGCGTTTATGATTTTGGTTTTTTATTTTTTATTTTTTTTGAGTTGTTTGTGGTTTTCGTTTTGCATCTTGAAAACAATTGAATAACATGCGGTTTCCCTTTTTACAATTTACTTTATGTTAAAATAAAATTGTTTTGTTAATGTTTTAAGTAGAGGGGAGGAAGGGAGAGTTGGTTTTTTTGGGGTAGGGGGTACGGTAGAATGAATGTGGGGATGTAAAGACTTAATATTTACTCAAAAACATAAAAGGGTATAATTGTCTTTTTTTACTTTCTTTTCTTTCCTTTAATGAACTCGGGAGCACCTAAAATGAATACTCTCTTTTCCTTTCTTTCGAACTCGGGAGCACTGAATACTTTATTATTTCCGTTCCCTTCCTTTTCCTTTCTCTCCTTGTTCTTCCTTTCTTTTCTTTTCTTTCCTTTAGTGAACTCGGGAGCAAGGTGTTAGGAACCAACTTGAGAAAGCTTTACAATCTCTTCTAGCGTTAGACCTTTATGGTACGTATATGCTATTCATAAGGGTGAGTGTGAAACTCTAAAAGAGGATTACATCAATAGGTTTGGTACCGCAATAATTGATAGTCATTAGGAGTTTGTGGATACATGCTTACTTATCGATAAACCAAAAGGAATAGTCATCATCCCAGTAACTACCGTATATATTGAGAGTGAACATCGGCATATTAATGTGGATGTATAACTACACAAAAGATTGAAAATAAGGTTGTAAAAAACATTTGACTATAACTCAACGTTCGATTGAGGTTAAATGATTAATTGGGGATTAACTGGGACCATGAGTTATTAATAAAACTATTTAAGAACTTTATATATCCTAAGAAAATAAGTATTTGAAATTTTAAATTTTTAAAATTTTGAAATTGTTAGTATAATATTTAAACATTTGAAAATTTAAAATTTAAAAAACTTGGTTTAGTATTTGACAATTTAAATTTTTTAATTTTTTCCGCTGAGTCTGAGTTTGACCGATATTGACAAATATTCGTGAACATCTCTATTCGTAATCGATTTAAGGCCACCAAATGATTAACTGGCCACCATGCCAATTTCTACAACACTAGAAATTACTAATCATCAAATAACATTTTTTATATGCGACTATTATTTGGATAATGTAAATGAAACACTTGTATACCGTACCATACTCAGACCAAGCTGGGTATTGAGATCCATTGGTTATGTTACACAAATCATGTAAAACAATATTGAAAGTTGCCGGTACAAATATCCAAAGAACTTGATCCGACCTTCACTCCATAAGCAAGGAAATCCCGAACATAATGTGATGTTTGGCAACTACTTTGTAGAATATATAAAACAAATGATCTCCTTTATATCGACAATAATATCTAACCACCTACATAAACATGTCTGTAAGGGAGATAGTCTTGTATGGTGGTTGTTTCTTGATTTTAGCAAGAATATATGCAACAATTACATGTGTGCAAGACATTGTAAGAGAAGTATAAAAAATGAGGCCATGTTGGAAAAAAAGAATTTAGTTTATAATTTCCGATTGGTTATGATGTTTCAAAACAAATTATTCTATACATTTTGGAGTTGTTCTTCATATTCTGGATATGTTAGTGTTAATGTAACTACAATATTTTTGGGTCTTTACTAATATTAAATAACTGACTAACTAAGACACCTGCTATCAATTAATACAACATTTTGGAAATGTTTTTATGGTTTTTGGACAATATGTGTGCGTTTCAGACTAACGTTTTTGCAGTTATAATTAAAAATTTTAAAAGTACTAGTAAAAGTGTGAAGACCTTAGCTGCAAAACCTCAAACTCACCAGAATCAGATGTAGTTTCTTCTTTGCCTACTAAGTCCGAAATATGAAGATATTCTGGCATACATTCCAGGATGCCTTATGTACTGCTTGCTGTGACCTTGGCTCCAACCATCGGCTCTCAGATTGCTTTGTCTTCGGAAGGCTCTACAAAGTCACAACAAGGAAAGCTGTGAGTTGTTTCCCGGGAAGAAGCTCCGACGGTCAAGTCAGTGGGGTATATCTGGCTAAGAGTGATGAGTATTGAGAGAGATTACTTACTTCTCAAGGTAAACCGGAGGCCCTTTTATACTAGGGATCCATGTTGTTCCGTACGGGGAACATGGATTGCAATTCTGACAGAATCCGCTCCTCTGATTGGTTAATCATGTCCCCTGTTGTGTTAAGGCCAACGATTGGCTTAGGCGTTAGTGCTATGGGCATACTCTTTGTCGCCTGATGCTATTGCATTTGTCCTGTAGCAACATAGCAGCAGGGATGCTCTTGGCAAAGCCGGACTTTTCGTGCGGGCGTTCCACCCCGAGGGATCGCCCGGATGCTAGAGTCCTTGCTGAGACATCCACGCCGGGTCTGGCTGGCTAATTGGAGGATCCTTCGACCTGGGGATCCCGCGCTAGGAGGCGCGTTATCACTGCCCATTAAGTTTGGAACCCGATACATAATAAGCTAGGCTGGATAACTCCACTCTAGAATGGTCAATTCCAGAATATGTGATTATTTTTCAAAAAAAATGGTGGTAATTTTATTCAATTCCTTAAACATTTACTCAGTTTCTCAAAAGATATATTTATAATATAAACCTTCAACTAAATTAACTACTTACATCTATAAACTTAAACTTGAAGGACTCGAGTGAAAGCTGTGATGCCCATTTCCAAAATTGGTATGATATGGTTCATTTACACCAAAATGGTATGGTATAACAAGTGATGTTGGATTTGAGCAATTTATTTGTATAAAATGAGATTTAGTGTTGTCTTTTTATAAATTGGTTGAGAATGGATGGGTTTGTATGGGGATACCAGATAATGAGCGGAGTCATGGCTGTGAGTTTCCTTGGTAAGTATAGAGCCATGTACCGAACAACAAACGGGCGGTGGCATGGCAAGGTGTATTCATTGAAACTCGTTTTTATGAAATGTAATAAGTTATTTGATATCTTTGTTTGTATATAAACTGATTTGTTGTATAACTGTTGACATGCTTATGTAATTGTTGTGATCTTATTAGGAGGATTGATATATGAAGTTCAGTCATTGATGATAAAAATAACATAAAAGTAGCCTAACCATATTGTACAAGAAGAAAAGACCAAGAAGACGGACGGAGTTATGTCAAGTAAACAGCGGGTAGGATGATATATACACACAACACATGTTGAAAAAGTGGAGTGCATGACATGATATTTACGGATGAAAGAAAAACTAACTATTTACAATCAAGTTTGAGTGGGTATAGAATGAAGTATTATCATCGTCATCATCATGAGCATGAGCATAGAGATGTTGATGTTGATGTCTTTGTTGATCCCATCTAATGACTTCAGTAATAAATGAGATTCCTCCTTGAACAGATCCACGATCCCTACCAACACTCTGCCACACAAAAAGCTTCCTACCAGTTATACCCGCATACACCTCCTTAAACTTCATACCCACATAATAATAAGCCTGGTTTGCCAATGACACGGTTGAAGTTTTCACCACCCCCGCCCCAAAATCACTAAACCACTCGCAGACACTCAACGGGGTCCGCCCGATTTTCTCCTCAAAGATGTCGTATTTGTTCAAAATAACCACAAACGGAATGTCCGCAAAACAAGCTTGTTTCACGAGCCTCTCGAACAAGTCTCGGTTTGCTAACATCTTGTTTTCCGTGATGATGACATCATCATTGTGTTTGTGGGCCCACACCTGGTCGTAGTCGCTTAACGCCACACAAAATATAACCAACCGCGCGTCTTCAAACATGTCTAGCCATTTGCAACCATCATGCAGTTTCATGCCAAGTAGCTGAAACCTATCACCAAACACAAACTTTATATTATTTTATCTGATCTTAATAATGATAGTAGTAATTCCAGAAAAGAAACGTAGGTCACCTGATTAAAGGAGATTGACCATTTTCATCATCAGATATAGACATAGACATGGGGCTGTGATCACGAAACGAGAAGTCCAGACACGAAAGACCGTTGGTTGGGGTTACTCCTTCAGCATATAAAATGTCCTTCTCCGATGGTTCATAATCGTTGCTTGATAACTCAATTGTCTGCAAATTGAATAATACCGTATTTAATAATGAAGAGCTGAGACCAATAGATAAGAAACAACATCTACCTACCCGATCAAGAAAATATTTGGCGACATCTGGAAGAAAATTCAGCTCGTCTCTTCGCCTGTAAGTCTCCTGAATGGCAGGATCCTTCCATATCTCATCAACTAATGGAGCATACTCCCGTGTCGCAGCCGGAAAGTAATTCTCAAAATCACCCATTGCCATTATATCCAGCAGCCAATCAGAGAAATGTTTGAATTTTGGTTTAAATGAATAAACACTTGAATCAGAATCATCTTCCTCTTCAAAACGCTCTCTCCCTTCAAGCAACACACTAAGGTATCTATATGTGTTGCTTTGTATCATAAGCTTAAGATGCTGCAACTCCTCACCACTCAGCTTGTCTCCATATAAAAACCTCACCTGCAAGTCACCAGCATTAATACAGATAGATATATCACATTATGAATACGGATTATGATACCTGCTTGAAGATGGTACTTGTCCCTGATCCTTCCAACCCAAACAGCATAAGCTTGTCGACTCTTGTTGAATGCTCCAAATTCTGAGTAATAGACTCATGCTTCTTCAACTTCAAACCCTGACACGCTTCATGGGGTACAGGCAAACAGAACAATGAAGAAATGAACCGAGTAGACGCCTACCTACCAATAAAACATCCCAGATAGATAACTATCATAAAACAATAATATATATATATATATATATATATATATATATATATATATTTATTTATTTATTGATTCAAACCTTTCCCCATATGTTTCCTTTGATATTGTTTTGACCCTCTTCCTCATACGACCCATCATCATAAAGCCAGAAATGTGTTCCCTGTGGGCATTGTACCTTGGCTAGCTGAAATGCATATCAAAATTTCAGTTCATAAAACTGACTGTAATGTATACACCCACAGACTACTAAGTGTTACCATTTATTTTACCTTTAGTACCCTGAGTTCAACTTTTGTGATTTGACGCCCATTGATATAAACTTGTGTGTTTCCATTGCTTGCATCCATCTGAAGCTTACCACCCACATTCAATTTTGAACTTACAATCCTATCAGGCTTTTCCCCCTCCTGAAAAAATTCGTTACAAAATTTCAATCACAAAACAAACCAACAAACAAACAAACAAACAAGAAACTTTAAGCAATCTGCTTACCTGCCCCCAAAGTCCAGAATCCTTATCATACCAATACTTGCCTGGTTTTAACTTCAATGGAGGAACAGGGCAACCCAAAAGCTCACACAAATCCTCCTGCCCTAACTGTCTTCCATTCACAACAAGTTGCTCGGGACGAAGCTGATTAGCAAAGCATTCTTTTTCAGCCAACATTATCTGTCTCACCTCCAGAGGACTACAAATTTTAGACAACATTCTTGAGCACTTCCCTAGCCTCTGTCTTCTTGATTCATCGATAGGTCGCCCGATACAACCTACACATTTTCGTCCTTCAGGCATTGATCCCATTGCCTTGAGCAAACAGTTACTACAATACCTCGCATCGCAAACAATGCAACCTTCTTTTTCTTTCAATCTATTCCCGTTTCCACACCTGCTACATATATTCTTCTTCTGATTCTTCTTTCCACCAGTTTCCACGACAGGAGAAGCCGTAACACTTGTAGATGAATCATTATCTTCTTCTTCTTCTTCTTCTTCTTCTTCTTCTTCTTCTTGGGTGGTATCGAAACTCAGTACATTGGAAATTCCATCTTCTCCGGTTTCGGAAGCCGGTGTAACGAGAGACGCAGCCAAATTAGTAGTAGCACTAGTGTATTTGTGGTGAATTTTTGGGGGTTTAGTAAAATTTGAATTTTTAGTGATGGGTATAGGGCTGCTGGTGGTGGTTCTGGAAAGGGCGTGGTGGTTAATGTTATTGTTGTGTGGGTGGGTGGGGGGTTGGTATTCGACGGAAATTGAATAATCGAGTTGATCTTCGTCAGGTAAGGGGGCTCCGGCCGGCAACATCTTACGAAGGAGATCTTCCCAATGTTGCTTAGAAGTTTGTTCATTGATGGCGTAATCATCATCCGTCATTGTTGGCAAGAGATTAGTGAGTTGTGAGGTTGATTGATGAAAGGAAATCCAGTCGACAGATACAGCGAGATGGTGGGGGCGGATTTGGAGAGGTGGTCGGCACTCGGCAGCCAAGAATCAAAGTTCAAGAATGGATGTGTTGTTACGCATCCAAACAAACGTCAGATTCACATCTGTTACCGTTTTTCTTTCACATTTTGTTTATTTATTAGACAAAACTACAAAAGTACATAAATGGTACTTATGGTTCTCAAAAAACCACATTCAAATCTTTTTAAGAAAATTTTCAATTTTTTAATATCGCTGTTTATGACTAACATCGTTAGTTACCAAGTGTTAAATGCTTGTGAAATAACAAAAAAATATCCTATTTTTTTCTTTTATATTAAGAAAAAGAGGAATAACTTTATACCTTATATATATATATATATATATATATATATATATATATATATATATATATATATATATATATATATATATATATATATATATATATTATATATATATATATATATATATATATATATATATATCAGTTATATATTAGTTGTGAGACGCATGTATTACATGAATTAATTTTAAATAAATAAATAAATAAATATAAATGTCTAAATATTTAAAAATTATGAATTTATAAGAAAATAAGAAAAATAATAAATCAAAATTCAAGTTGGAAATTAACTAATTGTCAGTTCAATACATATCGATTGAATACAAACGGGCAACAAGCTGCGCTGCTAACCCTTTCTGGATGGCAAAACCAATTCTTTTGAAAACAATATTTGTGGATCTAGGAGATATGATATTAGGATGCATGACCCGTTGGACTCTATAATAATAAATTATTATAATGAAAATGTTTTTTTTATCCTTAAACACATAATTTAAATAAATAAACAAAAAAAACTAATAAACTTTAATTTTGAGAATTTTAAAATTAAAAGGTAATATCATTGATGATATTGATAACCATTTATTACTACATTTATTGCAGTTATTACATTAAAATATTATGTGAAATTTTAAAAAAAATAGAAAAACTTATAAAATGACATGTGGAAAAAACAATTCAAAATAACTACAAAATAACATTTGACAATTAAACGAGAGTGTGACAAGTGACAAAAAAATACAACCCTTGGTTACCGGTATGAAATTATTTTCAAATTGTTTATGTTTTCTCTTTAGGACATGGTGTGTTGGAGCCTCAACACGATGTGTCGAGATGTCTTTGGTCGTGGAGTTTAATGAGCCCACACGACGTGTTGAGGTACCTCTACACAACGTGTTAACAGCTGGGAAGAAAATCCTGATTTTTAGAGTGTTGCACCCTATTTAAAGGCATTAAGTCCCCTTGACTTGTCACACCCCCAAACCGAGACGGAGTGTAACGCTTGCAGATTCGGGCTAGTTAATTTAGAGACAATGAGCATCAATAATGAGTTTTTAATTGAAGATTATTTAGAATGATTAATCTTAACCAAGTTGTAGTATATGTTACAAGGGTTCTGTACATATAAAGAACGCGGAAATCTGAGTTATAACGAAGATGTTATGGTCCGTCGAAGTTTTACGGTAAGACCGGTACGCTATCCGGATACGTAAATAGTGAATTTGAATTTTAGTTTGACCGGTTTTTGGCATACGCGACCTAATTGAGAGTTGAAGATCTCATTAATAGGAACTCAACGATAAAAAGATAGATAAAAACGGAGTCCGTATGTAGAAGTTATGAATTTTACGCAGACATTTAACAATATAATCTCATCCTACTATTAAGTTTAAGATCAGTCAAGAATTAGCCGACGGGGTCAAAATAAAAGTTGTAGATCTTATTTTTACCTACGCGTGGATATAAAGAACGTCAAAAACGGAGCTCGTATGCGAAAATTATGGATTTTAGAAGTCGGAAGTGTGCTGTGTGAAAAATGGGTGGCGTGACACAATATTGGTCATTGTTTTCTCCCCAATTCTTGCCACCAGATGGTGACATGTGGCACCAAGTTCAGCCATATTTCACCCTATATAGAACCTCTCCCATTCTCATTTTCTTCACACTTTTTTCATTCTTTCTTCTCTCTACACTCTCTCTAAACCTCCCAAAACCCCCCTAGCGCTATAAGAAAGCCCTTGAGTGCTCGACGACTCCGAGAAGAAGATCTTTCGGCTCGGAAGTTCTGCCCCTACAACGCTTGACTTCTAGCCAAACCCCCTCGTAGGTAAGATACGGCTACACTATTTTAAATATAGTTTTTATTTAAATATAGTAATGTTATTAGGACCTTATAATAAATATTTGGGCTATTATTATGAGTTATATAAATGTCGTTATAATATCTTTTTAACCACTCGTGGTACGGGGAGTCTGGTTTGGAGAGCCGCTGGGGTTGCTGGATTTCAGAAGTGTTATATGCCAAAATGATCCTGCCCTCCTGTGTTCCATGTCTTGTCGTTGTCTATACATAGTGGGTGAAAAGTATTGTGTTAACACTTATATAATAGTAATAATAGTTAGATTATTAATTAGTCTCGTCGAGCATTAGACTAAACTCTAATGGTAATGATACTAGGTTCTGTGAAAGGAGTTATTTAAAGTAAACGAAGTGTCTTCTGAGTGCCGAATCACCACCTTTTCAAGTGAGTGTATGGTCCCTTTCATCTTACACATAGATGTGAAGTATTTTATATTGACTACGTGTTATTTATGCATATTATCTGTATACTTGCTATCTATGTTGGATGAACGATTTTATACAAGTTTTATATGATTTAAACTGTATATGTATTTATATCTACATAATATGTTGGGTAAAACATGGGTAGATGAAATATGAGTTGGATGATGAGTTGATAGGTGATATAGACCATGAGGTAAGGGTGAGAGGTGGATGATGTGAGAATCCTTGTTCCCAAATGATGGCCCCGTCATCTAGCAGAGTAAGGATGACAACCACATACTATTCTAGACAGTCCAGTGGAACACTAGCATGCTCGCAACCTGTAGGTGTTGTGAACGATGTGTTCACTGGTGTACTCTAAAAAACCCATTGACATGTATTGGGAGTGGACTCTCGAAAACGATACTGTCAATAAACGATATAACCGTAGTAGTTGTGCACGAAGGACAATACCGGAAGCTGCACCTCATAGAGAATGTCACAATTCTGGCAGCTGCACCTAAGTGATAGAACTAGCAGCTGTGCTTGATAGGTGTGTTATTGACAACGATGGACTTCGTACCTATTCCTTAGGTTAATCCTTAGGAATGAATGAATGAGAAATAACTGATTCATAGGGTAGATCCTTAGAGTAAAGAAGATAATGGGGATGCGTAATTGGGTTAACTGTTTGATGATTAAACATCATAATTATATTATTGTGGGTTTAAAACCCTATGTACTCACCAGGTTTCCCAACCTGACCCACTCAGTTTATTTATATCACAGGTGTTGATATGAAGTCACATTACATTGAGAGATTAATGAGATATAAATCATTAGTGATAACGAATGTAAGTTCTGTTTATACTTATGTCTCTGTATTGACAATGACATCCCAAATGTTTTAAAATGAATAAAAATATTTTTCTTCAGAATTGATTTGAGAATGTATTTATCATGTTTTACTGGGAATAAATTCCGCAACATTTTTATTAAAAACGGTACTCTGATTTTTATAAAGCATAAACAAAATCGGTCTTTTTCAGGCCGTGAAAATGAGGATGTCACAATTAGTATTAGAACATTAGTTTAAGCGAACTAGGAGTATGGATTTATTTCTAGACTTAAACTTAGAATGCTAAGCAATGATTGCGAGGAGTGTGTCTTAGGTAATACAGCTGAATAGACACAGACACTAGCTTATTTAGGGAAAATGCATAACATGCTTTTATGTGCTAAATGATTTATGATGCTTTATGATGCTAAATGTATGATCGGATCTATGGTCTGTTGCCGACCGGATCTGGAAACTTTATGTGTTCAGATTTCTAAGCGTTTAATTACGACATTAGAACTGGCATGTAACTTTTCGGAGTAAGAGGGAGATTTACACGTCGATTGTAAATAAAATCTTTCCTATCTAAAATCTCATCACTGGACACCGAACATCTGAAACGGTATATAGATCGACATGGTGAGAACTCGAAGCGGATTGGGAAGCGGTAACCCGCAGCTTGATCCACAAGTGATTGAGCGTGCGCTAGAAGTAGCAGCCGCACCCAAGCTAATCACTATGGTCGGGGTACAAGCAATGATCCAGATGCTGTTAGATCGTCAAATGGAAGAAACAAGGTGTTTTCTTCAACAGAACCGATATGAACCTACGGTGCCTGTTAAGCAGCCCGAACTGAATGAAGAGTTGTCATAAGAGGGAAATTACAGTTGTACGGTGAGTCAAGTTGGACCCCGAGCAATCAGGAGAAACGACCCGGACAGAAGGATTGACCAGAATGGGCGCATGTATAAGAACTTCTTAAGTGCCAAACCACCAAGTCTTGCTGGAAGCCCAAAACCAGTGGAGATTATAGACTGGATATCCGAGATGGATATGGTATTTGAGATCTGCGACTGTAGCGATAAGCAAAAGACGGTCTTTGGAGTCAAACAACTAAAGACCTGTGTTTACGTTGTATTTGAATCATATATGATTGTCTCACAAAGTTAATAGCAAAATAAAGACTTGAAGCCACTATGCTCTGTCTTCTAGAACCTGCGCGTGTATTTGTATACTAGTGTCCTGATAATACAAGTGGTTTTGAAAAAAGTGTGAACATTAAAGCTGGTGAGTTCATAAGCGTTTTGTTTTAGAAAACAGTTTCTTTGTTCTTTGTAAAATATGATGCGTCCTCCAGGAAATCCGATATCTCCTGATGTAAAGAATGATATGTAAAATGGCTCATACTAGTTTCCTTCTACGAGTACTTAGTGTATACAAGTTACATACAATCCAGATCAAACTGACAATCGGTTGTATGGTTCTGCCCAAGCCCACAACCAAAAAAGGAACAAGAAATGGGGCGGAAGGCACACATCCCACTGTTTGTTGGATCCTCATTGTATATAACCCGGTCGTATTCACTAAGTACTTACAGAGTTAACTGTAATGGTCCTTTTATAATTGTAAGTATATTCTTCCATAAAATCCTATATTTTTCTGATGTAATGACACGTAAGTTTT